AGTATTCAAAAAAGGTGACGCCAATGAGGTATCATGTCCTCAAGTATTACTACATTTTTGGGATTTAACTTTTTTCCAAGCAACAATTTGGCTGAAGTACAGCTCTTGGAGTGCTGGATTTGGTATCAGCTATCTAGGAGGCCTTTAAGGAGCGAGGGTAGTTGGCAGGCAGCTTTTGTGACTTGAGTGAAGCGTTTGATTGAATGGAGCATGAAATACTTCTGGCCAAGTTACAAAAATACAACTTTAATCAATCCAGCACCCCCTTAATCAAAAATTACTTGTCAGGTCGGCGCCAAATTGTGCAGGTTGCTGAGGTGAAGTCAGATGAAAGAATGTACAAATCGGAGTGCCCCAAGGTTCTATCCTGGGTCCTCTATTATTTTTATGACACATAAATGAACTTCCAGGAATAGATTTACACATTACACCCTTTTTGCCTGTTATGAAAATGAGCTGGATCAGGCGTACTCATCTTGTTGCACTTTCTAGAGCTGAAGGATGGTTCTCTACCAACCGCTTATTTATCAATGCCTCTAAAACTCAAACCCCTGACTTTTCCAACAGTACACTGCCTAATGTGAATGAAGCTTCCGGTGTGAAGTTCTTGGGTGTCCATTTGGACCCCGGGCTGCGCGGGTATTGGCATGGTTGTCTTATAGAGAGGATTGTAGGATTATTTTTCTTCCATGGTTTTAAAAGCTTCTCGTGGTGTGTCGCCCCAACAGAACTTAACTTCTTTTTTCAAGTAGATTATTGATTTAACGATCGAAGCGTAGTGAAACCCTCATCGAACTTCCGAAAATATCATGCAAGACCCAATAATTTGCTCACAGAATGGACATCCATTGAAGTTGGAAATGACTTAACAGCCTCATACCTACTTGCTGGCATCTGACTGGATCCCATCGTTAGTAATTTCGAGCCCTAAACACCAGAGTTTTCCATGAAAAATTGGCACTTGGAAATTTGAAATGTCCAGCTTTTTTGAATGAATCTAACACCTCGTATAGTTATTTACCTAACAAATGCGGAAAGTCATACTTTACCGCACGCAACGGCAGCCGTTAAGAGCGGTAAAGGCACTTTCCGCATGTGTTAGGTACAAAATTTTACCTATGAGCATCTACAACTCCAAAAAAAAGCATTGATAAAATTAATTAATGAATCAGATTAATTAATGAAATTAGATAAAATTTAGAAATGATCAAAAATCCATTTTCTGAAAAAGAGAGGATTTTTGATTATAAATATCATGTTCTACTTTACCGCACACTATGCGGTAAAGTGCACTTTACCGCACACTTTGTGTTCTACTTTACCGCATACTATGCTGTAAAGTTGACTTTACCGCACACTATGCGGTAAAGTGCACTTTACCGCATAGTGTGCGATAAAGTGATATTTTCCATTTGCAAATACGTGCGGTAAAGTGCACTTTACCGCACGCTCGTAGGTAAAATAATTTACAGTCCCTCTCCTATAGTTGAGATGGGAAGTACATCATCCAAATGCGATATCGAATTTCCAATTTTTAGATTCCCCATTATTACTGATTTCTGAAAAACTGCAAGAGCATTACACAATCCAAACGGCATCCTTAGATTTTAAAAATGACCATCTGGTGTGGTAAGTGCTGTTTATGGAATTGCAAATTCTTTCGAAGGAATTTGATCATAATCACTAGTCTAATCTAATTTTATCAAGTATCTGCAGTTTTCTAGTCTTTCAAGGAATTCGTCTACGCGAGTCAATGGATATTTATCTTTGACAGAATTTAGTTTTCGATAATCAATGCAAATGCGCATTTCGCCGTTTTTCTTTTTAACCATCAGAATTGGACTGGAATATGTTGCGGGGCCTGTACAATGTACATTGTCTATGGACATCGTCACAATTTAGAAAATTGCATTAAATTTTATTTTTCTATTTTGGTTCCATATCGAAGTCTTTTCGACACTAAAAGTAGTTTCGAAAAGAAGCTCTTTGTGACACTCCTTTTTTACTTATCGGAATTTTGTAACACTGACTGACTGATGGCCATCGAACTGTCATTTGCGATTTTATTATGGTAAAAATAAAAATAAAAAAGAAGATTTCTATATTTGGCATGTAATGTTACCAACCTAAACATGAAATCAGGAAATATGAGAATAAAGTTTCCAAGAAAAATTTGTTTTTTTTTAATTAAACAATACCAAAATAGAAAAAATAGTATAAAATATTCGTTTCATAAGACATTTTATCGCACTCGCCCTTTAGAAAACTCGCCTCCGGCTCGTTTTCTAATATAGGGCTCGTGCGATAAAATGACGTCTTATGAAACTTGTATTTTAATGTACTATTTCAGCTATCGAAGATTGTATAAAATAAAGGAATTCATACTATAGTAGCATTATTCTACTAAAAAAATTAATCACAAGTTTAAATAATGCCTTTGGTAATATTATGTTTCACTTCCAATGGAAAGTTAATAAACAATTTAGAGCCCGAAAGTACAAAATTATACCTACGAACATATGCATCTGCAAAAAAGGCATTACTGAAATATCTGGAAGAAAGGGACTTTTGTCCAAAGTCTATTTTACTGCACACTATCCATACTATGCAGTCTACTTTACCGCACACTATACTTCCTTAAAATGGGATACACCAGCTACGCATCGCACGACACATTTTTGTGACAAACACCCTGTCTGTATGTAATGAAATATCTCAAAACTGAATACGGTATACCAGACGTGAATACACATTAGCTGCTGTTGTTTCAAAATCAAATTTGGGTTTCGGAAAGCAAAGCGAAGACTAGCCTGGCAGACAAATTCAGACAGTGGTCCTCCCTCGATAGCCCATCATCCAAATTTTTGAAGATAACTACATGTGTTTTGCTCAATAAAGCATCATCAGGCCTTGAAATACACACCCTTAGCACACATTCATATTTCAAGGCCTGATGATGCTCTATTGAGCGAAAGACGTGTAGCTAATTAGATAAATTATGAGACTGTGACTTTGTTTTTGTTATCTTCAAAAATCTTGCCTTTGGTCTCTTGGATAAAAATGGATGATGTCTTTTTCATCATCCAAAGTAAGACCCAAAAATTTTTGTTAAGTTAAGTTGTCTAAGTCAGGTCGTTAAAGTTATTGCGAATGCGCTTTGATTAAAAGAACAACACGTACTTTGCTTGGTGCTACCACAATCGAGACTTTTTGATCTTTCTCAACAACAGCGGAATTTTCATTAGCAAAATCAAAAATTAGACTTGGCAGGATATCTGTCGGAAGAGGATTAACAAACAGCAAAAACAATACAGGTCCCAGGACTGAGCCCTGAGGAACTCCAACATTGATGTTAATGTTATTTGAATTGTGTGTTTTATCGTCCTGATCATGCATCTGTACAAACTACCTGCGAAACCCCAAGAAAAATGAATACCCATTCAGGGCATTTCACGTACACCATTGAGCTGTAGTCTATTAAGCATTATGTCATGATCAGCACAGTCAAACCACCTCAGGACCAGTCACTACTTCAAAATGTCAACATTACTGATGAGGTCGATTTTCCCTTTCTGAAGTCATGTTGACTTGAAATGTTTTTTCACTTGGATGTTGCAGCAGCTTACTCAAACATTTTTGAAAAACAAGTCAGGGTGATGGAACAGTCGTTTTCGGTTATCGTGGGATTCGGTGAATTGAAGAGAATCCAGTTTCCAAAAAGCGTTGACAGGATATGCAATTGGTTTAAGGCAGGAGTCCAGCACCAAATTTTGAAACATATTTGTGGGAATATCGCCAGGACCTGCAGATTTTTCATTTTTCAATTCTTTTAGTTATCAATTCATGCATTTCATCCTCCGAAAATGAGTCGATCTTTTTAATAGGATAAATCGGGACGTATTTGACAAAAAACTTTTATCTCTCACTGGATTTTCAGGAAAATGCAAACAGGATGGCGCGAAAGATCTATTTTTTATTTTACAGGCGAGAACTTGTACCTACAGTCCTACTTTTATAATCTGATACTGATGTGATCTGGTGGCTCCCTACTTTAGCATGCCAATGGTCACCTGACCTCATGCATGTTTTGATAAAATCTGTTTTTTTTTAAGATAAAAGTCAAAATGACTAAATGACATGTAAAATCCAAATGTTTTATGTAGAAAAGGCTTGTGTTTCCAACATAGTTACTAAATTTTTGACTTGGGGAATTATCTTTAAAAAAAAACGAACTTTATATTTTTCCTCCCCTCGCTCCTCATACGGAAAGTGTCAAAGTAAAAAAGCTAAACATTATAAGTTCATATATTGAAGCATCCATTACTACAAATCTACAATGAAAATATTTCATACTTACATGAATGCACAGTAAAATTAGGAGCCTCATTTGCAATAAACCAATCGAAGAGGCCCTCAAAAACTTTCTATATTCAGCACTTGTTAGGTGTTACCCAATTAATATATTCAAAAGCCACTGATAATATTGTTCATTTTCGTAATAAAAAGCATCTAAAATGTTTTTCTATTTAGTTAATTACATCTCTTTATTAATTAATTCCACATAGGTATTCTACCTTTTCTACAGATAACAGTTTTTAATTTTATCCCCACAATTATAAATATAAATTAAGAAAAGCGAGAGGAAAATTACAAAAAACTTCCCTTGCCTGTGCCTAATTCGATGAGAAATTAGGTTTTCGTTGACCGACACTATCTTTTCTCCATGCTTATTTTACAGGAGTTTAATTTAAGGGGACGCGGATAAATTATTCAGTCGCGGTGATAAGAGGAATAATTATTCATATCTATTACCACCCTCGTTCCAGTTAGCTTCCAGAGAACTTCTTAGCTTCTTTTTGTTAGATTAGACACGCATGGACGAGTTTTAAAATCGATTCAACGAATTTGTGAAACATATCTCTTTAAACTTCCGGGTTCTTAGTCATAAAATTATTGAAATTACTGGGTAAACTTTTTTTCACGAATATTTATCATTTCAGTTCCTATGGAAGAAGCGCACGGTGTTCTTGGAAAAAAGAAAGGACTACCATGCAACATAATACCAAGAGACCGACAGGATGCTGTGGCAATGGTCTTGTGGTTTAAAGAAAGCATTGGAGAACCGTTGTACAGGTAAATATTTAATTTTGATGACTAAAATATACTTATGTTATTTTCATTCTTGGAAAATATAATTCTTGATTTTGTATTCTAATTCTACTAGGCCATAATTAAGAAAAAGGTTTATTGTCGAATGGCAATGAGATTTTGTTTTCTCGAAAACGGCTTCACACAATATTACATTTTTCTTCGGAGAGATGTTAGATGGCCTTTCATAGTGGAATTTAAAATTTAACATAAGACTTTAAGATCTAAAACTCGAATTGAAATTACATTTTTCCTTGGTAAGAATCTGAAATATTCTGGTAAGTGACGAAGTTGCTAGGAAATATTTACTGCCTCATGACCAGAAAAAATCGTTTTCACTTGCCTTTCAATTTTTCCAATAAGTCCAGATAACAATTTCTCATTTTGAAGCCCCCTGGATTATGCTAACGTAATGGATAATATTTCCACTAGTGCATACAATATTTCCGTAAATTTTTGAAAATTTTGTCTGAAGCCAATTTTTTAACAAAATCATGAGTGCACAGCGCCTGAAAAAAATTTTTCTTCGGCGCTATACACGAATGGTTTTGTTCAAAAAAATTGGCGAGAGACGAAATTTTTTAAAATTTCTTTTAGGAAATATTTTATGCACGTGTTATATTTTGATAGGAAATTTCCCGAGTTTGAAGTTTATTTACTATAAGTTGTGTCGAATATTTTAATAATGATGATGTGTTCTGTGATGTTGATTGTTATTGATCTTTCCCATTTAAATTGCGTTTGTCAAAAATATACATTTTGACAGATTTCTGACATCAATGCGTTTTAGATGGAAAAGCTGGTCTCAATGCCAAAAATGACAACCTAAAGGTGGGTTTCCGACGGACGCCGCGCGGCATTGTCGCATTGGAAATTGCACCCGGAAATATCCCTCTCACCAGATGTTTCCACTTATCAATTTTTGAAAATTAAGAGGTAAATTTCCAGTTGAATATGCACAAGGGAAATTTCCGGGACAACTGAATCCTTAATGACAGTATAGTGTCGATCATTAATAGACACTGAAATGACGAGTAATTCTGCTTTCAGGTGAATGAAAGTTATAAATTTAATATTGGAAGCTAGACTGAGGTTTAATATACTGGGTGTATCAGGTAAAACTTGTAAATTTGAAGGTTTTTTTCTTGCAAGGAGTTAGCTATACGTATTATAGATCCCTATGTTATTTATACAGTGCGTTTCAAAAGTCTGGGAACGGTCAAATATTTCCATAGCGGCTTGAAATAGAATTACATAATTTTCTGCACATGGGCAATTAATGATGCTCGATTCAATGATGACATCGGCAATGTTGCCAAGTTTACCGGTTTTCAGATAATGTAGGTAACTTCGTTTTTTTAAATAGGAATACCACTTTATTTTCAATGCAATAAATTCGGCGCTCTATTGTTATTAAAACCTCTCAATATCAGGTTCCTATTTTAGACGGTTTCTGAAATATTGCAACACAGCCTTTTTGTTAAAAAGTCTGGGAATGGTTAAATATTTCCAGAGCGGCTTGAAATAGAATTACGAAATTTTCTGCATATGGGTAATGAATGATGTCCGATTCAACGATGACATCGACAATGTTGCCAAGTTTACCGGTTTTTAGATAATGTAGGTAACTTTGTCTATTTAAATAGGAATACCACTTTATTTTCATTGTAATAAATTCGGCGCTGTATTGTTATTGAAACCTCTTGATATCATTTCCCTATCTGACACGGTTTCCGAAATATGGCAACGCAGACTTTTTGTTCAAAAGTCTGGGAACGGTCAAATATTTCTAGAGCGGCTTGAAATAGAATTACGAAATTTTATGCATATGGGTAATTAACGATGCTCGATTCAATGAAGACATCGACAATGTTGCCAAGTTTACCGGTTTTTAGGTAATGTAGGTAACTTCGTTTTTTCAAATAGGAATATCACTTCATTTTTATTGCAATAAATTCGGCGCTCTATTGTTATTAAAACCTCTTGATATCATGTTTCTATTTTACACGGTTTCTGAAATATTGCAACACAGCCTTTTTGTTCAAAAGTCTGAGAGCAGCCAATTATTTCCAGAGCGGCTTGAAATAGAATCACGAAATTTTCTGTATATGGGTAAATCATGATTCCCGATTAAATGATGACATCGAAAATGTTGCCAGGTTTTCAGATAATATAGGTAACTTCGTTTTTTTTTTTTCTTCAATAGAAATGCCACCTTATTTCTATTGCAATTTTGGTACTCTGTTATAAATGAAACCTCTTGATATCAAATCACCATTTCAAGTGGTTTTTGAAATGTAGCAACACAGACTTTTTGTTCGAAAGTTGGAGAACGGTGGAGTATTTTGACAAAGGCTTAAAATGGGATTTTCAAAATTTGAAGAAGAGAAGTTATTATGATTATCAATTTAATGATGGCATCAACAAATATCAAAATATCGATACGCTGGGATTCACTCAGTTCGAAATTCATCTTGACAAAACTTTGAAGGAACTTGACGCATCTGATAATTACCTATACCACTGGAGAATAAACAAATGAATATCTAAATTTTTAGTTATTTAGCGTACGTGTATTCTTTCATGCTATTGTTTTGACAAATTGTCAAACAATACAGGGAGTATCAGGTATGAGAACTAATATTTTAACATGAGAAAATATGACCTATTTCAAGCCAAGACTGTCCTATCAAGGCTACTAATCATGAGTCAATTGTTAGTATTTTCGGAATTATCGCAAAATTTAAATTTAAGAAAATGTTAACAACGTGACAACATTGTAGAGATCATCTGTACCAGGATATTATTGTAATAAAATTGGTAAATTCTTTTTTTTGCAAGCATTTCCTTTTATTTCGACCTGTTTACGATTTGGTTTGTTATTCGCTTTCAAATAATGTAAATAATATTTGCATTTTTATCACTTTTCTAGTAAAAATAAAAAATGAGCCGATTTATTAAGTTGTGAATTGCACTCAATGACAGTTTTGCACTGAACATTCAAGAAAAAAAATTTTACACACTTACACTTCCCACGAGACTTCCCATATCACGCAATCTTTGTGTAACGGACCCAATGTTCTTTCATCAGGTGGGTGGCCTTCTATTGGGAAATCTTTCCCTGTAAATTCTGGCGGCTAAATGAGCATTTTGCAACAATTCTGTCTTAACTAGTATCTGCATAGCATATTCGACGTTTGTGAACATTTTATTTTCAACCACCTATTCTTTTGTGCTATGTTGCCAAATGTTTAGGTACCGGAGTGAAGGTGTCATGTTTATTCATTTTTTTTTTATTGTTGTTGACTAAAAATGCATTATTACTTAATAATTGAATGAGTTAAAAAAAAATTTGATCTCATAATGATTAAAATTTTCTTTATCTTTCAGATATTTCTCAAAAATTGTCATAGCTTCAAAGATCTTTTTCTGATGAAAATTAAGTATTATTCCTATTCGAAAAAACGAAGTTACCTACATTATCTGAAAACCGGTAAATTTGGCAACATTGTCGATGTGATCATTGAATCGGGAATCATTAATTACCCATATGCAGAAAATTTCGTAATTCTATTTCAAGCCGCTATGGAAATATTTGACCATTCCCAGACTTTTGAAACACACTGTATATGAATAATTCCCCTTTTCAATGTCAAACATAAGGATACGCCACTGTAAAATTCCACTATATTATAAAGTTGCTGAGTAAGGGTTATTCGAGCTGGGAAAGTACTGATGCACGTAGGGTGCACCGATAAGTTGCAGCGTAGATATTATTTTCGAATGTAATACCACAAGAGGTTTCAGGATTACCGGATAATACTTTTACCTGTCACGAAACGCGTTACGCAGCAACACCACGACTCCGAAGGAGGAGTGGTGTTGCTGGTAACGCGTTGATTGTCAGGTAAAAGTATTAGGTAATCCTGAAACATCGAGTGGTATTCAAAAGGTTATACAACGAACTAAACTTTGATACTTTAAAATTTAAAAAAAATTCTATAATAGAATTTGTCATAAATGCCACCAAGCGAGATAATCCCAAAAGGCTTATCACTTATTAAGCCTCTCCTGTCATATGGGAATAATGTACAGTGAGTTGTATAATCAGATAAATACGCCGCGCGGAGCTCTCTGCTCATTCTTTTGTTTTTAGATTTCACTATAGCAATTAGAATCAAGATTCTTTTGTTTTCGGACTTTTGCCGCAGCAATCAGAGTGTAGTAGTTTTTGGTAAGGTGAAATAAATAGTTTTTAACAAGATTTACTGAACAAAAAATATAATTAGTTTATTTATTTCCATTTGTTTACGTTTTGGTTTGTTATTGGCTTTCAAATAATGTAAATAATAACTTGAATTTTTATCAATTTTCTGGTAAAAATAAAAAATGTGCCGTTTTATTAAGTTGTGAGTTGCACTCAATGACATTTCTGCACTAAAAATTCAAGAGAAAAATTAAATAATATACTCAGCTACTTGCCAAATCCTCATTATAAAAATATTAATTTTTGTTAAAAGGTTCTCAAAACAGTCAAATCAACACGCAGATTTTGCACACTCACACTTCCCGTATCACGCAATCTTTGTAAAACGGGTACAATGTTCTTTCATCAGGTGGTTGCTCTTGGGAAATCTTCCCCTGCAAATTCTAGTGGCTAAATAGGCATTCTGCAACGATTCTGTCCTGTCTAAACAAGTATCTACATATTCGACGTTTGTAAACATTTTATTTTCGAAAAAGAATGAATTACGCGCGAGATTACGCGCGTTTCCAATGCTTCAACTAACTGACATAAGACTAATCAAGTGTGTGTTGTGCTATGTTGCCAAATGTTCAGATGCCGATTTACGAGTGAAATTTTCATGTTGTTTTTTCAATTTTTTAATATTGTTGTCGACTAAAAATGCATAATTACTTAATAATTGAATGAACTATTTTTTTTACATCTCCTAATTATTCATTTTTTTTTTCTCTTTGAAATA